TCAATGGTGCTTGATGAGACCACTGGGATGCTTGAGGCGGGAGTTGAGATAGCGGCAGCTGGAGTGCTCGAGCTGTTCTGAGCTGGGTAGCTCGAAGCTGGGTAGGCCGGGTAGCTCGAGGCCGGGTAGGCTGGGTAACTTGACTCCGCAGAGGGAGGAAGGCTCGAAGCTGGATAGGCCGGGTAGCTCGAGGCAGGGTAGGCTGGGTAGCTCGACTCCGCAGAGGGAGGGAGGCTCGAAGCTGGATAGACTGGGAAGCTTGAGGCTGGGTAAACTGGGGCACTCGACTCCGCAGAGGGAGGGAGGCTCGAGGCCGGGTAGACTGGGAAGCTTGAGGCCGGGTAGACTGGGAAGCTTGAGGCCGGGTAGACTGGGGCACTCGAGCCAGGAGTCGAGACTGCGCCAGCTGGGGTGCTGGGCGTGGGCGTGGGCGTTGCCTCTTCATCACATGGAGTAGATGTGGGATAGGGCGGTGGCGGCGAGGCAGGGTAAGAGGGAATGCTGCTGTAGCCGGATGGGAGTGCCTCGTAGTATTTCGGGGCTGCCATTGTTGAGCCGACAATGGCGGCAGCAACAAGGGAGTAACGCATCTTGACTTGTTTGTTGACTCTACTACTGGGTGATTGTTGTATGGGATTTGGGGATTGAAAAATTAAGTATTAAGAGTTTCTAGAGATGATCACTAGAGCGAGTGTCAGTCTGGAAAGACGATTAAAGCGAAGGTGAGCGATAGTGGTGAGGTATGGTAGAGGAGATGGGATGAAAGTTATATACCGCAACACATCTGTGCATGGCTAAGGGCTGACGTCGGAACGGTAGTATTTGCTCCTCCCACGTGAAGTGGCAGCTGGCATGCTCTGCACGCGAGCCATGAAGCTGGGATACGACAGTCGATAGTGTGCACATCCCAAAGAGTAACGTCAGCAACAAGGTTGCATGGTTGAGCATACAGCCCTACCTTTCGACGATGATCACGCTAACGGCATTGGCAACGGCGGAAGTCTATTTTAATATCGCGCTAGTCCCTTTTCGGAGCGTATACTCGGCCGACACATGGCTGCAGGTGCCGTCAGAACCCAAACCCAACGATGTCACCCAATCCAGCTCAAGGGGCAACGCTCATGCTACAAGATTCGCCAATGGCCAGAGGATGATGAGTAAGACCACGCCGAGTTCCTGAAGATCCACCGTGCTTATCCACTTGGTTACTCCACTGCACCGGAACACTATTCTCCCTTTGGCTCTGCTATCCCAAATCCGGCACTTGATAGCGTTTGCGTCTCGGTGGGCTTGCATTAAGCTTCTTTGCCATGTCCTAGTCGACAAGTTTTTGTCTGTTGTGCGCGACGCCGCAATGCTTACCTGCAGTTACGAGAACTCATCCTACACAGTAAGGAGACTGGGAAATTTGCACGGAAAAACGAGCAGGGAGCCGCTGTCAAGAACATCTAGCTATGATACTCACACAGGGACGGGTACACGTCAACATGTCGCCCTCGTGTGCATGCACTGTAGCTTTAGTACCACAGCCTTACATAGCGAACAGTCAAAGCGTTACATTCACAGGGTTCGATGCATTTCTATGCAGCTACAAGGGCCATATGCGCTACAAAGAGGTTTGGCGAGACCCATAACCTGGTTAGCAGGCCTACCCACTTTACTCTTCGTATTGAACTCCGATTATCCAATAGGACGAGCAGTGGTAAAAATACATTGGAGATACACGAAGCCTCAATCTAACAGCCCACCAGCCACCGACATCAGCATCAAGGCTGGGGAACGCAATCCTGCTCTTTTTGCTCCCCAATAACCTGCATGATGCTTGTCGTCTTTAAGCTTGTTACAAAGGACTAAAGAAGGATAGTGATCGCATAGACAGCAGGTTCGTCACCAAGATCGCATGCCTGCGAAGCCCCAGAAGGAGCGTGTCCTCCCATTCTATACGAACTGTTGTAATTACTGTAATCATCTGGCACAGCATCCCTGGATCTCGAGAACTTGTTGAAGTTCAAGATCCATCGATCGACTATCGGTGGTTATCACTACATTTCCACTGGTATTCATCTGGGAACTTACCATACACACGGGTCCTCACCGCGCTTTCTTAACGCATCACTGATTTTCCTAAAGTTTATTGTGTGGCGTTGCAAAAACTGTTATGCTAATTCTTTCTTGCATGCAGAAGTGGATACTTCCACAGTGACCTTCACATCTCACGTGCTACTGACACTGGGTAAGGGTACCCCATTCTGTAGTGCATTAAGAATTGTCTCGACCATATTGTAGAGACATACGATTTTTGGCTGTATTCGTAATCCGTCCAACATGAGACCCCAAGCGTATGTATTCAGGGGATACGCGCGCATTGGGCATAGCTGACATCAGCCGATCACGCATAACAAGCCGATGAACAACACGCTAAACACGATGCGCGAACAATTTTGGCACAACTTTTCTTTTTCGAGAGATAGAAGTGGCTGACATCAATATTGTTGCGTCATAGTGTGAATGGCGTGACTGGCTTTCAATCATTATGAGAGCGAGTGAGTACACAAGTACATAGTACCTGCCGCCCATGCAAGTAATAGCACCGAAGGGTCCAGAGCGGGTATCTTTCCAGAATCGTTTCACTCGCTCGTGCCACGAAGTACATCTCGAGCCGAGACTGGTCTGCTCGGGCTATTGCTGTACGCTCAAATGCCCGAAGCACATCGGGGTAACTGCACGGCAATACAAACATGTACACATGTGTATAAGATAGGAGATGAGATGATAGCTCTGGATCTTTATGTCACGGCCTGCACAATGAGCTTTGCTCACTTCCCCTGTCAAGGTTTACCAAACGGGCCGAGCCCGTGTGCGCTCCCACGCTATTATTGCACTTACCATCGGCAGTTAGTCTGGTAGCGAACCACACAGCCCTCAACCATCCGGCCAAAAGAAAAGTTTCTTTTTTTGGGTTCGACCACGCAATTCTTTTGGTTTGATTGCGCTATGAAATAGGGCGAATTCCGCTATGCGTGTTGTGAGCTTGGAAAGGAGGCTGGTAAGACCCGTCATTGCAACAACCATTCACTGTTCAGTTTCGTCTCCATGCTTGATTTTTTGAGACTGTGGATTTTGAGTCTTGTACACTTTGAACAGACACCACATGCTATCTGTTTTCAATGAGGGAGTAACTAATATCTAGGAAGACATTAATGTAGGTCTTGTGCGACTACTGACGTTACACCCACCCGTCGATACCATTACAAATACGTTCCACCATTGTCTCAACCACCAACTTCAAATTCATTACCAATCTCGAAGCATCAGAATCTAGTAAATGCGCACCAAATTCCTGCCCCACCACCCTACGCAACCGCACCGCCTCATGTAGACCTCATATTCGCAATTTAGAATATGTAAAGTCGAATACGACCAACCTCCCCTCAAACACAGCAAGCGCATCGCATCAGCACCACCGTCGTCCCAATATCGTTAGGGCCGGAGAAAACTTTCCTTCTGAAGCAATGTAAAGCGCTGGATCAGGCGATATATGCGAATTCGCATTAGTAAATATCGAATCCAGGCCAGTTTTCCACGTCACGAAGATCTACAGAGCTCATCGCGACGTGGTCCTGGTGGCTGAACACCTCCACAACGCTCACAGCCTATGAAACAGAAGAAACAGTCATCTGCATAGATGGCATCACTAAGTAAAGTATGGTACACTATTACTTCGCCGATACTACTCCAACGCCGATGTTCAATAGAAGGTGGGTCTGCACCTCTCCCGCTGGAGTTACTAAGCAACCGAGGTCTATGTATCGTTTGAGTAAACACGACAAGACCCATGTCGTTGGTGTAGTGGATTCCCTAGTTGATTTGCCTGTGGCAACTGTGAAATATGGGGGAGTGACGTGGGCGGCTGAGCTGCGTGGTGTAGCGCCATATTTAGTATTGAGTGGCTTTTTTCAGGGCGCGCCCAACAATCATGCGATTCTCCACTTTGTTCGTACGGAATGGCTAATCAAGAGCCGTTTATCCGGTGCGATGTTGCGTGTTGGCGTCGATAGCAGTAGAGCTTGGAAGGTGGGCTTATGTGTGGCTGCTCGACGTCAGTACAATGGTCCAAGATGACGTGTTCTTTGTGATCGTTGAAAAGCAATGAGACAATGCGATTAGATGAATAAGGGATTTGTGAGATAGAATAAACAATACAGAAATTGTATTACTTCATGGTATCCAATCAGCAGAATTTTTCGTCCAGTGAATCGGGAGTGACAACATCGTCCATAGCCTCGAGAATAGATTGAGAAGTACATATATTTTTGAATCGACAACCCAAAGTTTCTCACCTTCTTAGTGAGAAAAAAAATTCTTGTCTAGTAATGGGCGCGTACTGCGTTTCTCATCTGAACATGTACACTCGTTGCGGTAATTATCAAGAAAGAACTTGTTATCCAGATGCAATTCCTCGACACCGTCATCGAATATGATAGTCGCATAGTAAACATCTATACCAGCAAGACGCTCCGTATAAGACAAAAAAAAGACCCTCGATCAGTATGCAAATCTCGTCTTTGTATTGGAATACCACATACTTTCCTCAGCCTAATTCTCTAAAAACGCGTGTTGAATAGTGACGCAGCATAATTATCACCATCCTACAACGTGGAAATTGTAAAATCCATGTCTAAATCCAGCATTTCCCCGATCGCACATCAGACCCCTCCCACCCCCCATCCATACCACACACCACTCTACACTACCCCGCTCTTACTCCCCAGTATCTACCCCCCTCCCCCCAACCCTCACTCACACTAAAAATTCTCTGCACGTCAGATACTTGAATCAGCACCAGTAACCCCCCTCCCCCCTCTCCCTCCAAAGAAACCCTGAAAAGTAGGATCCGTTTATACCAGTCTACCCACGGAATTTGTTTTCTCATTCCAACTCTGTACATGAAAAGAAGTTGAGAAAAAACAAAACAAAGCGAAACGATGAATGGCGGAAGCAAAACAGATATAATAGGCGGAAAGGTGAAAAACCAAAAAAAAAAAACAGAATTGAATAAGGGAAGCACTTTTACCGTTTTGACAGAACATTTAATAGCAAAGAGAGAGACAGGGAGCATTATCACATGACTTTATATATATATAAAATGGGCCAAGAAAAGAGGAGAAAGAATAGTCTCTCATCCACTTCCATTCTACATCCATCTACACACCCCCTTACCACTCCGCCACCTCCCCTCCCCCCGGCTTCGCCGCCCTCACAACCTTATCGCAATTCAAAAGACACAAGGGATCAAACGCCTTCTTAAGCTGTCTCATAGCATCCACGGTCTCAGTACCCAACTCATGGGGTAGATAATCGCGTTTGACAATGCCGACACCATGTTCGCCCGTTGCCGTACCTTCAAGCTCGATAGCGCGTTTCACCATTTCGTGGACGAGATGCGACGCTTTGTTGAAGTCGCGGGTGCGGTCGTATAGGATGATAGCTTTTTTTTTAAAAAAAACACACGTGTGTTAGAAAAGAAGAAGAAGAAGAAGAAGTGGGAAATAAAGGGAGAGGGAAAGGGAGGGGAAAAAAACTTACAGTGGAAATTTCCGTCACCGACATGACCGACGATACTAGCCAGCAATCCACTCTCAGTAATTTTCTGCTTGGATTCTTCAATGATTTGCGGGAGTTTGGAAATAGGGACTGCAACGTCGGTGGTCCAGACGGCGATGTTGGGGTCGCCTTTTCCCTTTGCCATGACGCTCCATAGGGCTTCTTTTCGAGCCTGCCAGAGCTCCTCTTTTTCTTGCTCAGATTTGGCAAATTCAAAGCTTACAGAACCAGACTTCTTGGCGAAGGCTTGGACTTGGGCGATTTGTTCTTTGACGGCGCTTTGGGTACCGGCAAACTTGAAGAAGAGCGTGGGTGCGTTTTTCCATGTTTTTGCCGTTTGGCCAGCGTCGTTGATGCATTGCATCTGGACTTCGTCTAGGATCTCAATGGCGGCGATGGGAACGGATGCGCCGACGACTTTGAAGACACATTCTGCTGCGGCGCGGATAGATGGGAAGGCACATACGGCTACACTGGTGTGCTGGGGCTTGGGAATGATTTTCAGAGTAGCTTCTGTGACTAGACCCAAGGTACCCTCGCTTCCGACAAACATGCGCGTAAGATCATAGCCTGCCGAAGACTTTCGTGGTCGTTGCCGGGTCTTGATGATTGTTCCGTCAGCCAACACAACGGTGAGCGACACGACCCAATCTTTCATCGTGCCATAGCGATATGCGTTGGTACCTGAACAACCTGTGCCAACCATACCACCAATCATTGCGCCTGGACCTGGGTCGGGTGGAAAGAAAAAGCCGTCCTTGGCGAGCTCCTCGTTGAGGTGCTCCCATCCGACGGCGGGCTGAACAACCACATCCAGATCTTCCTTGTGTAGGTTTACGATTTTATCCATGCGACTGAAATCGATGCAAATTCCTCCTTTTGTTGCGGCAAAATGCCCCTCCAGACTTGTTCCTCCACTGTATGGTGTGACGGGAATTTTTCGCTCGTGGCAGACCTTCATGATGGCACTGACTTCCTGAGTGTTTCCTGGCTTCACAACGCAAAACGGCACATCTCCTGGTGAAGAGGGATGTGAAGACCACGATGAACCGCTGTGCGATTCGAGATCATGCCTGTCCAGTGTGATGTTTTCCTTTCCTACAATGTCGCGGAAGTCGGTCCAGGCCGCCTCCATGTTTGCCTCTGAAATATTGTGCTTGGGAGGAACAAAGGTCTCGAGTGGTGCGGTAGAGCTCGTGTCTGGCTTGGGTGGTATCAATTGGCCGTAGTAGTAGCCTATGCTTGCGGTAAGGAGACATGCTGTTTTTTTCCAAGTCAGTTCAGTCCAGTGTTCAAAAAAAAAATGCAATGGCTCAATACCGAAGACGGTCGCAAAGAATTGACCCCGTGCTGTTCTTTGCTGCAGCGACTGAATCCTAATCTGCTCGGCCTTTTCCTTTTGTACACGCTCGTAGATGCTCTCGTTTAGTTGGAGGTAGAAAGGCCTCTCTTCATCCTTTCCCAATTTCTTGTCATCGCTCGCCCATCGTCTTTGCGCCATTGCGCCCACACGCGCGCTTGCTCCGCATTGCCTCCATATCGCATTCGGACGCGCACTTCTCAGCGCGATTGAGCCGCGCGGCAGGCTTCGTAGAGGCATTGCGGTTATGAAGAAAGTGGTTTCATGTCGGGGCTGTCGGGGAAACGGGTGCGGGGAACGCGATGGCGAGTCTCAAGCGTCGGATGATGACAGCGGTGCCAAGACAAGCTTAAGTCCGCCTCCGATGCTGCAGATCCCTGTTCATGCAGGCAGCCTGTCACCATAACCGATGATCTCATCCATGTCGACGTGGAGAAGCTGATGCATGTTTTGTTTTGCATGAAACTTTGTTTTGATTAGAATACACAAACGTCACGGTGCAGCCTCCAGTTTGAAGCAAACGCACTGGTCATTGTCACTTGCAGACGAGACAAACACATGGAGAGCAAACAGAATGCAATTGCGAGCTCAATGACCGAAGCCAGAGCGAGTTATCCAGACTAGAAACAAATAAACAACCCAAACTCCAAACTTAATCTAACCTGCTGTGCCGCCAGGCATGCAGTGATTCAACGAGTGCTTGTCAAAGCTTCCAACGCCTGTGTAGGATAAAGATATGCAAAAAATGAGGAGGTGGTTCCTTTGGAGCCAGACCTTGCTAATGCGCCTGCCAAAAGAATGAGTCCCTAACAATGCCCGCGAGATATGCAGCATGGGTGTTGGTGGGGGCATATGTCGTCAAAGGCCGTAATCGTTACGCCGTGCTAAAGAAGGAAAAATGTAAAAAAATATATGTATAACTGAAGATGGGGTATAAAAAAGCAAAGTGCACACCGCGTGTGATTTCCAGGGTGCCGTCGGTGGCCGTGTGCACTGAGGTGATGGAGTGTCGGTGAGTAGGCGGTGCCAGGTGGAGGCCCACACAGTAAGGCAACGCTAGCTGCATATATGCGTGGCACTGCATGCAAGTAGATGACCTGGAACAGCCCCCTATTTGCCCGATAGGCGAAGCAGCCTCGTTTTGAGCCAGGTAACAAATCTGAGCCATCTTCCTTTGATAGCACGGCTCTTGCTGACTTTTGGTACGGCGCTCATGGCCGCCTTTTCCGGGTCAACGGTAGTTACGAGCTTGGGCAACGAGTGCGAGTGAGCCTGTCGGTGATCCGAGTATTGACGCCCGCCTATCGAGGGTCGGCCGCCAACAGAGGGTCTAGGTGTCTTTTCGCTTTCGTCGGATGTGGTGCGCGTACGGTTCATTTCGTTGCGGTCCAGAGTCTCGGACTTGCGCCGCTGCAAGTCTTCTTTCTTAAGCTGCTTCCGGTAGTCACGTTCCTGCTGCTTGTGTGCATCCTTTTCGTATTTTAGCTCCTTGGCTCGTTGCTCTTGCTCAAACTTTTGTCGTGCAGCGCGGATGGATGCAGCTCTTGACGCGGGATCCACAGGCGAGTCGCGACCGCCACGTATGAAGCGGTAAGCCTGGTCAAACGAGGTGCGGGAGCTGGGTGATGTGGTTGTGTCAATGGATTTGAGCGTGTCACCCCGTGCCCTTGGCGGGCCGGTGGGGGAAGTGAGCGAAGCTGTGGATTGGGAGTAGGTGGCAGCAAGGCGAGTGGATGAGTTGTTGGTGTGGAGGCGAAGGGATGTTCCCTGTGCCGAGGACATGGACCCAGATCGACGTGTGGGATCATACGAATTCTGTTTCAAACGAACTTCGTCGTCAGACATGATATCATCGCCCTCAAGCTCGCTTCCTAGGATGGACGAGGGCGATGAGCCTGCTATTGGCGGTGAGAAGAGTTGAGGTGTTTGGCGAATGGAAGGCAAAGGAGTCGGTCGGGGGCCTGAGGAAGCCGAGTACTGTGATTGATTGGAGGTGGAACGGCTGTGTCGGTTGCGAGGGTTGACGGGCGTGAAGTTGACTTCTGATATGGAACGCGAGTAGGCGCCGTACTCTAGGATGCCCAGCCCCGTCAAGTCGTTTTCAGCAGCAGGTCGCGAAAGATCCAGACCGCTGGTTTCCTTGGAAGAGAGCTTGCGCAGGTAGGGCTTGATCTTGAGCGGGTGGGCAGAGGCAGCAGCAGGCATGGGGCGTTGAGGTTCGATCCAGGACTCTTCGTAGACGTTTGGCGTGTTTGAGCGGTCAAAGGTGAAGGCACCATAGTCGGCGACGGGACTAAGGGAGCTGGGTGCGGCCGAGGCCGAATGGCCGCGTTTGTGCAGACGCGCATGCCTGGCGGACATGGTTGGCGAGAGACGGTGAGAGGGAGGCGGTCGCGGGTGTTATCGAAGCATGTCAGTGTAGGCGGGTTATAGGGTGTTTTGGGGTTATGGGCAACAGCAGGCTGGGAGCAGTTAAAGGGTGTGGCATCACCAAGCCAAGTTGGAAGACGAAAGTGTTCCGAATGGTTCCGTGGCGGGCAGGAAGGGAAGAGGGTTATGGATGAGTGACGAAACGACGGTGTCGGGCCCAGGGTGGGAGGGCGGGAACGGTGGGAATGAATCCGGGGCAATTCCAAGGTAGTAAGTAGCAGCAGCAGCAGACGCGGGTCGATGGCGCATTCACCCAGGCAGGCAGGCTGGATGGTTTGCCAGGCCGTTAGACGTCTCCTGGCTGGCGGGCCCGCTGGGATGCTGGACTGCCTCGAGCGCTGCCTCGGCCCCGAGCGCCTTGTACTAGTAATGCTATGGGATGGAAGTGGAAGCAGATATGCCCACTGAGTCCGGGACGCGGCTAGGCCACAAGCAACGGGGATCGATGACGGTGCCGCCAGTGATGAGATCGACCATCACCACTCAGCACGCGCGCCGTCATGGGGGCGTCCGGTGCTTAAATGCAATGCGCGGGACGGGTGCGAGCACAAGGCAAGGTCAAGCAAGGTCAGAGTGGCGCCGGCTGTGGGATGGAGGGATGGATGGATGGATGGAGGGATGCAACAAGCAGGCCGGCTGGAGCGGAGTCGCCGTTCGATAAGCCGCAGAGATACAGTCACCCTCACGACCATGGCCCAGTGGCTGTGGCATCCATCCAATCCTCACCGCTCGCACACCAGAGAGCATAGCAATACGCGCCGCCCGCCTCCTCTTTTGCCCCCGAGCCCGCATCTCCGCCTCTCCGCCGCGACGCCTGCCCAGCTCCCAGCCTGCGCAGCTGCGTGGCACAGCATCATGGTCAACACCAGGCTGCGTAAGTAGTAGTCGTGGTGCTGAACCGCGCGTAATCATGAGACGTCAGATGCCCAGCTGTAGATACAATACGCCCCATTGCCTCGTATGCATCGCTTAGACGCCGCGACTTGGCCTGATGCCGATGCTCCCACCCGACTCGCCGTCATGCCCATCGCCCTCGGACATGAACCCTTCCGCAGCGCGCAGGGTGCTGAGAAACGGATTCATCAGCTCTGTGTTATCTCTGCGGCGCATGATCTCGCCTTACCCCGCCATTCCTACCCAAGGCTGACCCTGTCCAAGCCACCCTCGCCCTCAACCCCTCTACTACTAGCATACCATACCACACTATGCCTCCCGCCGGCATCCTCAACAAAACCCGTCCCCACGCGGAGAGGGGCTCCCACGTCTTCCTTGCCGAGCACACGGCACACCGACTCACGTCTGTCCGGTCCACTACCCACCCTACAACCAGCCGATGCAGACAGACCAGGTTGCAATTGCAATCGCCATCAATCCACCCTCTGCCTCCTGAAACACGCTTCTCGATACCCCACACTGCCTCTTGTCCAACAGTGCGCACCCAATCAATATCACGCCTCTTAACCACTGCCACAGCCGCAGAGAACCACTTCTGACGCGTCTGGACCAGGACCGCCGCTTGGTGAGACAGTACCCCGCAGCACATGTCTACGGGAGCCGAACACATTTTGTTGCTACGCCAACTATTGCTTCTGCACACGATGAGGCTCTCTGCCCGCAGGCCTAGACTTGAGCAAGTTTCTCTTTGATTACCCCCCCACGGCCCATGTACTCAAGTAGATATGGCCGTATCTCGCCGCGGACATTAAACGGCCTGAAACTCCGCAACAACATGTGCTAGCTCCTCTGCAGCTAACGAGCTGTTTGTAGACTTGGGCAGTGCAGGTAGGTAGGCGTGGTGCAAGTATAGCCTCCGAAACCGAAATGGCGCTTCCCTTAGTATCAAAACACAGTACCGGCTGAACGGCAGCTTGTAGATCGTTGCGGCCTCTAGTTCGCGTTGGGAATTGGGATTCTGAAAGCTGGTATTCTGTTGCGACTAACACGTGACGTTATTCGCAAGTATTCGCGACTATTTGCTCGCGTGGTGGTGGGGTGTCCTGAAGCAACCATGACCTATGCCAGGGAACACCATGGAAGAACAGGGTCCCGATGACGACACCAACGCAACCCCGGTGCTGTTGAGTTTGAGCGTGTGCAGAACGCATCACTATGATTGCTGCAGTGGGCCAGTGTAGGTAGACACAAGGATCAGGACATCGTTCTGACCGGATGACGCCATAATGACTAACGAAACACGATGCGTCTTTTTTGGAACACCCATCGCCCTAGTATCCTCTGTCAACCAACTCTATTATCGCGCTGAGCTGAAGAGCAAACTAAGAGCGCCTTCCAAGAGCTGTGTCGAAACTTTGGTTATAATAATAGCATCAAAGCATGTGCTGACCCCGCTGCGCATGTTGGGGCTGGACATGTCTGCACTACAATTTAGCATTGATTAAAACATTGCTCAACCGATTTTGCAAAATTTTAGCCTCGAGTCCATGCTGCATCGTTCGCTTGTCAAAGAAAAAGCAATGTCAGCAATGTCGATGAACGCTCAAGCGAGGCCCTACATTTCTCCGATGGACAAGCGTGGCAGTGTCTGTTTTTTTTTCTTTCGCGGACAAGGGGCTCCTGCGCTAGCAGTCAATAAAGTCTCGTTGCTAGGCGGCTGACTAAGGCCTCCCTGACGTCGAGCACGGGTCGCAGGGAACACCAAAAACATCCTATCCCAAAACCTGCGCTACCCACCACACGCGTCTCATGGAGTTGTAGCCCAAACCCCATTCCGACCGCAACCATCACTTTCTGTCCCCAAGTGATCGCGACCATGTCGACCAATAAGAGGGGCAACATCTTCGGCCAGGGTAAGCCTGAGCGTCCATACGAAGAGCGCGACGAACCCGCAGATGTCCCTCAGCGGGCAACGGCAGCCCAGCTCGCCGCACGAAAGTAAGATATTCATCTCCCGGCATGCATTTCACGACTTTCCTACGAGTCTGTGTCGCGATGATGCGCTTTGTATATGATAAGCTGACGCTTTTTTCCAATAGAATCAAAACCGCGAAAGCCCGACGACCAGCAGGCGCCTCTTCCGTGAGTATTTCGACGTCTATTTCAAGCCTCCGCTCCCCGTTCATACCGCTGCGCAAGCATGTTGGCAAAGCGACTTAATGCCGCGAGACGGCGCGAAACACATAGCAGAAAGATGACATTCGCTAATACACGCGCAAAGGGTCTATCACAGAGCGCAAACTTTGGCGCACCACAACAGAATGGCTTCAACTTCGGCGCCTCGGCACCTGCTCCTGCGAACGGCGGCGCGAATGCCTTTGGGGGTTTTGGAGGAAACAATGCTTTCGGTGGCGCTAGCGCGACCAGCAGTTTTCCACCTGCACAGCCCGCCGCCCCAAGTACTACCTTTTCCAGTTCATCCTTTCCAGCATTTGGAGGCAGCAATTCAGGAACAGGCACAGGCTTCAATCCTCAGCCGCCTTCATCCGCGGGTTTCAACTTCACGGCAGGAGGTTCCAACCCATTTGCGACTGCGAACTCGGCACCTGCGACAAACGGCAGCACGCCTGCGCCCGCACCCGCGTTCGGAGGATCAATATTTGGCAACTCACAAGCACAAAGCAATCCTTTTGGCGGATTAGCACAGAGCAGCACATCAAGTGCAGCCCCATCCACCAGTATTTTCGGTACATCAAGCGCCGCGCCCTCTGGTGGCATGTTCGGTACCTCGAGTGCTGCACCTTCGGGCGGCCTGTTTGGCACTACCAGCGGCGCTGCAAACGCTCCAACAACCACTGCTCCAGCCTCAACACCATTCACCTTTGGTGCTACCAGTTCATCGGCTCAGAACACTACAAGTACGCCAGCAACGAGCGGCATTTTCAGTGGCTTCAGCAACTCTACCCAGACGGCGCCACCAGCCCAAAATAGCATTTTCAGCGGTTTCGGCGCGAATGCACAAAAGGAACAAGCCCCCAAAGAGCCAGCTGCATCCCAGACTAGCATGTTTGGTGGATTTGGTTCAAACGCGCAAAAGACTGATACTGCTACGGAGACACCCAAGCAAAACAATATCTTCGGGGGTCTAAACACAGGTGCACAGAGCACGCCAAGTGCTACGGCTTCTGGATCAGGTTTGTTCAACTTTGGCGCGTCGGCTCAGAAGACGGACGGAGCGACATCCTCGGCACCATCTACTGGTTTATTCGGAGCTTCCACTTCGGCTACACCAATCGCCAAGGCTTCCACACCTGCAGACAACCCCTTTGCAAACCTTCCAACTGCAGCGGGTGCATCTACTCCATTCCCAGGATTCGCAGCAACATCGCAGACGCCTCAGGCGCAAGAAAAGACTCCAGCCCCTGCAGCAAATCTGTTTGGTAATCTTAAGAAGCCAGAGGAGTCCACCACCACTGCTGCACCAGAGACACCCAAGTCGAACCCATTCGCGTCGCTTGCAAAGCCAGCTACACCTCCAGCTGCTGCACCAGCAGCCACTAGTTCTGGTTTTAGCTTATTTGGAACTGACAAAGATAAGGACTCAAGCTCGGCAACACTCAAGGCTCCTGAAGCGCCCAAATCGAGTCTATTCCAGCCTTTCAGCACCCCACAGCCGGCAAAGACCGCCGATACAGAAACGTCACAAGGTGGACTGTTCAGCGCGGCTCAACCAAAGACAAGCTCCGGTTTGTTCTCCCAGACATTCCAGCCCGAGGTCAACAAGTCGAGCAACCTGTTCAGCAAGCCTCAGTCCAGCTTCCCATCTTTCACCCCGTCTGCAACTTCTTCAACAGAGGCGCCAAAGGCTTCCGCTGCGGCATCTCCTTCTTCTGAAAAATCTAATCCGTTTGCCTCCCTTTCAACTCCCTCAACAGATCGCCCAAATCTGTTCAGTACTCCCAAGGAACCTGCGCAAGCTTCTCCTGCACCGGCCATGCCCAACCTTACCGGCAGCTCCACCTTGTCGAACGAATCACAGCAAACACCAGAGATGCCCAAGGTTCCCAAGGTACACGTTCCTAAAGAATGGTCTGTTCCAGGTGTTGTTCGCGCGCAGAGCGGCGACAGTCTGTTGAAGCAAATCACAGACTTGACTGCTCAACTTCAAGTTCTGAACGGAAAGTACCGACAGCAAATTAGTACTCTCCCTCCCTCGGCAGACTGGTCGAGTGTGTCCCTCTGGCACTACCAGCATTCTACCGACATCAAGAAGAAGATTGACAACGCCAAAAAGCAACGTGCAGCTAGCCGGGGCGTCACTGGAACTGAGTCCAGTCTGTCCACCAAGCGCAAGGCCGACGAAGATACCGTCGAAGCCCGTGATCCTTCTCCAATTAAGCGATCCCGTCCAGCCGAGACACCTTCGAGCCCAACACCTCAACCATCTGCTTCTACTCCAAAGCTGAACCCACCAGCAACGGCGACATCGAACATGTTTGCCAAGGCAATTGGCAACAAGCCTTCCACACCTTCCACTCCATCTACATCATCAACAAATTTGTTTGCACCAAAGACGGCTGAGAAGTCCAGTGAAGAACCTGCCAAGGCAAATGCACCCGCTACTAGCTTTGGCTTCACCCCTTCACTACCAGCCACCAACGGTACAAGCAACTCATCCACTTCGTCCGGATTCAAGCCTACATTCGGCGGCACACCCAGCAGCACTTCCGGCTCGACGGGGTTCAAGCCTAATTTTGGCAGTACCTCGGGAGGTGGAGGTGGCTTTATGGCACAGTTTACCAAGACGGCAAAAACATATGATGAGCTTGCTGCCGAGCGCAAGAAGAAGGCCATGGAAGAAGATTACGATTCGGACGAGGAAACTGAAGAGCAATGGTCTGCCAGGTATGACAAAGCTGAAGAGGAACGCCGTGCTGAAGAGAAGAAGAAGGCTGCTGCCACCCCCACATTCACATTTGGCGCCTCGGCTAAGCCAGATGCACAGCCATCAGGCAGCACCCCGAAATCTAACCCTTTCTCTGGTCTGCTGAAGCCCACAAGCGGTACATCTACGTCCGGCGGTTTCACTCCCAAGGATGTTAGCCCTGCTCCATCCACAGGTAGCCAGTCTGTCTTCAATGCCCCGGCCGCCTCTCCAGCTCCGTCTTCCAACATCTTCGGTCATCTCTCTTCGGGCCCTTCCTCGAACAACCAGGATGAATCCGACGAAGATGACGCCGAGCAACAAGAGATTGCAGGGTCGGTAGAGCCAGCCACCCCGAGAGTCAATTTCGGAGAATCTGAGGCAGAGTCGGATGGGGCGCAGGAGCAAAAGCAGCCAAATACTAGCACCAAGGGAAGCCTTCTTGCCAGGATCACCCGTGACAACGACTCCGAGTCTGAGAAGGAGAACAACGGCATTTCCTCTACAGCGGCGACCAACGGAACTACTACGCCTACCAACAAGCCCTTCCAATTCTTCGACTTTAATGCAGCATCCAAGACCGCACCGCCCAAGTCGGACACATTTGCAGGCGATCAAACTTTCAAGTTTGGTAGCCCTATCAAGTTTGGACAAGCTCCTGCTACGGAGAAGAAGGATGCCCCTAAGTTCCAGTTCCAGCCTGCTACGCCATCGCCGGGTGAAGGATCGACGACGCCGGCGAAACCACCGCCTTCTTCCATTTTCAACTTTGCCTCGTCAACCGGTGGCTCATCACTGTTTGCACC